TGTATAATTACCTTTCTCTTCTTTAATTTTTCTTTTTCTTTTTGAGACAGAGTCTCACTCTGTTACTCAGGCTGGAGTGCCATGGCTCATCACAGCTCATAGCAGCCTCAAACGCCTGGGTTCAAGCGATCCTCCTGCCTTTGACTCCTGAGTGGCTGGGACTGCAGGCGAGCACCATGACACCTGGCTAAGGTTTTTTATTTTTAGTAGAGACAAGGTCTTGCTCTTGCTCTTGCTCAGGCTTTTTTCAAACTCCTGGCCTCATGTGATATTCCCAGAGTGCTAGGATTAGAGGGGTGAGCCACCATGCCTGGCCAGACCAAATTTTTTTACATGATTTTCAACTTAGATTGTTAATATAAATATAACCCGAATTAAAATTCTGGTTTTAGGTCAGATGTGGTGGCTAAGGCCTGTTATCTCACTGTTTTGGGAAGCTGAGGCAGGAAGAGGCAGGATCGCTTGAGCCCAGGAGTTCGAGGCTGCAGTGATCTATGATCTCACCACTGCACTCCAGCCTAGGTGACAGAACAAGATCCTGTCTCTAAAAGTTCTGGTTTTAAAATCTAGTAAATACCTGGGCTCAAGTGATCCTCCTGTCTCTGATTCCCAGGCAGGAAGTTTTTAGTTGTAAGCCTGTTATGGATTGAATTTTGTGTCGAATCCCTAACCCAGTGTGGTTGTATTTGAAGATCGGCATTTAAGGAGGTAATTAATGTTAGATGAGGTTGCAAGAGTGGGCCCTGATCTGACAGGACAGTGTCCTTATGAGAAGAAACACTGGAGCCTGTGCACACTTAGCTCCCTGGAGTCGAGAAGAAGCTGTGTGCCTGCTGAGCCATGTTGTGGACTGAGCCGTCCACACCAGGGAAACCAGCTCTGAGCTGCTTGGCCCTCATGCCACTGCTCTGAAGAATCTTCGCTAATGATATATACGTTTCTGATTCAGAGGTGTTTGCGGATACTAGCTGATGGACCTTAAGCTGTCTGCTCCAACCTGGAGTGCCCCCTCCCCTCCCCTGCCTTCATGCCCCTTTGACCCCATGGTCCTGGTCCCAGTTCCTGTCTGTGTGGTTGTGATCTCAATTCCTGTCTCTGTGTTCTGATCCTGAGTCCTGTCCCTGTGGTTCTGATCCTAAGTTCTATCAAGGACCATAGTTGAAAATACCCTTTTCCTGGAAGAAAGTGCTTCCAAATCATGTATATGATAAGGGATTGATATCTAGACTATATAGGAACTCCTACAATTTAGCAGCAAACCAAAAAAACAACCCATTTCAAAAATGGGCAAAGGATATAATAAACATTTCTCCAAATGACCAGTGAGCACGTGAAAAGATGCTCAACATCATTAATAATGAGGAAATACAAGTCAAAACTATAGGAGATGCCATCTCACACCCATTAGCAAAATACCAATTTTTGGCTGAAGTGGAGGAAATAGAACCTTATGCCCTGCTGGTGAGGGTGTCAAATCATGCAGTCTCTGTGGAAGACAGCATGAGAGTTTTTTGTTTGTTTTTGATTTTTTGAGACAGAGGCTCAAGCTGTTGCCCTGGTAGAGTGCCGTGGTGTCATAGATCATAGCAACCTGCAACTTGGGATCAAGTGATTTTCTTGCCTCTGTTTTTTTATTTTTAGTAGAGATGGGGTCTTGCTTTTGCTCAGGCTGGTCCTGAACTCATGAGCTCAAGCAATCCACCCAACTCAACCTCCCAGAGTGCTAGGGTTACAGGTGTGAGTCACCACGCCTGGCCAGCATGAGAGTTTTTTTAAAAATTAAAAGTAGGCCCGGCGCCTATAGCTCAACCGGCTAAGGCGCCAGCCACGTACACCTAAGGTGGC